GTTGACATATTTGGATAAGTAAAGATGTGAAGCAATAGGGAACTCTCACTGCTTATTGGAAGTGAATTAGTAAATCACTACGGAGAGCAACTTCGAAACAGCTAATATGATTGAAGGTGTGAGTCCCCTATACTAAGAAAAATTGTACTTTTCTTCCTTGTACCTTTCTGTTACCTTAAAATTAAAGCAGGGACCTTTTCCTTCAGATTTTCAGACTTTCAGCAGGTCATTACACATTATAAAAGTCTTTATTTTTCATCCCTTAATTATCTACAACTCTTCTTCCTTCTCACTGTTCGTCTATTCACTATGCCTTTGTTAGAACTTTTTACTTTTTTTTATCACAGCCATTCCCATTTGAATTCTAATGACCAATTACTGAAACTTCTGGCATATATTTTAAGACTGTTTAAAGAGTTATTAGACTTGAGAATTTATTAAATCTGCGGAGTGCCTGAAGATAGGATTCAGATCCAGAACTCAAAGTTGCTAAGAGAGTAAATCTTAAATGTGCTCATCACAAGAAAAAATTTTATAACTATGTATGGTGATTGATGTTGACTAGATTTATTGAGGTGATCATTTTGCAGTGTAAGCAAATATCATATAATTATGTTCTACACCTGAAACTAATATAATGTTATATGTCAGTTATACCTCAATAAAAAATAAGGAAGAGAGAGAAAAAGAGAGAAGACAGACCAAGAACTTTGAATGAGAAAAGGGAATTCTTGACCACGATGTTTGTAGAGGATAACATATGAGCATGCCTCATGGAAGATAGGAGTAGACTTCAAATTACTCTTGCTAGGTTGCATGGATATCAGTCCTTTCTTTTTGGATTCTTCTCTCTCCTTTGTGGTTTTTCTTCAGGGCATTGTCACTTATCGTTTCTCCCTTCACTACACACCATTTTTTTCATTTCTTTATCTTCACATTATATCTTGGACTGATCATCTCGCCACTAATAGTTCAATCTAAATTAATTTTGAGTGTATTTGTGGTTGCACAAATACAAGATGAGAGATGTCTTAGTCTGTGCAAGTTTGGATTTTTAAAAGTCTGTGTTCTTTTTTGGTATTTTGCATTAACTACATAATTTGTATTTGGTGTTTTCAGCTTATTTGCAAATGACCTGCTAACAGAACATCTCTCGAAAATGTATTACCACATTTTTTCCATTTTAATAACTTTTAAAACAAGGCTGCTGAAAATGTAGGTGTAAAACTTCTTTTTCATAATCTTGGTCCATCACATTAGCATTTTCCTAGAAAATTGGAAAGACTGAATTTTCTTTCTCTGCTTCACATTGATATATTTCAGCTGAGCCCATTTTTACTAGTGATTGTCTTTTTCTCTCTTACTTATATGCAGACTATCTTCTAATTCTTTTTGGAAGCCCAGTCTACTTTTCTTTCAGTTGACAATATTAATATCACGTTGGTAACATCCAAGTATCATTTCAGTATTTTTGATTGACCTAAACTTTTGCACTAAGGTTCTATGCTGTGTCAGTCAAATCATTTATGAGCATTTCCCTGTGCAGATTTTCTGTCACTACATACTTATTGCTCATTATTTTTTTGTTATGGTGGGCAAAAGTAGGTTTACAGTTGTGAGTAGACGGAAGTTTTTTCTTGTATTATTTATTTATTGTATCACTTCTGTTACAACTGTAAACTGACTTTTGCCAGCCCCTGTATATAGTGTCAGCCATGAATTCTAAATTACCAAATTTGGGTTTTATTTAGGCACAGTATCTCTCATTCTTTTTATCTGCTCTCTTGGCCAAAGAATCCAGGGCTTTCTCTTCAGGAAAAGCAGTAATAGCCACTTGGGGTCCTTTTTCCTGGACCTTGAGCCTAACTTGTTCTGTGCCAAGACTGCCATCTAGCTGGGCCCCTCCTTTTAGTCTGTCTGTATGAGTACAAACCCTACTCAAAGTCACCTGGCTTCTTAGTTTTCTGCCCTGAAGCTCCTTTTATAAAACTTTAAGCTTTCTGGAAGTGTATTTTAACCAGCATTATAGTGGTGTTTTTTTTAATTCATAGTTTTAAAAAGTTTATCGCATACCTACCACCAGCATAGCTTCTGGCTAGCTGCTACATGGATACCAAAAAAAAAAAAGTGTGAAATACATTTAAGCTTACAGTAAAAACGAGGACATATGACCAAACATTAGAAGTAAATTAAAACCTTATGTCACCAGAGAGTCACTGGCCAAGTTGGGGTGGGGAAGGGGATATGGAGGTGAGATCCAAGGAAAGAAGGATGCTGCCTTGCTGGAAGGAATCCAGAAACTGGGATAGCCTCTGGTTTTGTTCTAAAATGGTGAGTGTGTTTGGAAGGAAAAACTGAGCCTCTGGGTGAAGAGTGTGGATTTCAGGCAAAGGACACTGAGTAAAGTTGTTAAAAAACAAACTGAAACATAGTAAAAATTTTAAGAGCTTATTTGAGCAAAAATTGATTCTCAAAGTGGCTAGGAGCACTCCACAGACAGGAGCCAGGGGTAAGATTTATATAGAGATAGTGCAGAAGCAAAGAAAGGAAATTATTTGACTGACCATAGCTTTAAAACCTGATTGGTTATCCTTCACATTTTGATTTTTAGCTTTGAGGCATTTACAAGCTTAGATTTTGGTTTGCTTATGTAGGCCACCATGCCATTAGAGCCACATCAGTCTTTGGGCCTCCTTGTTTAATTAATTTCACAAGTTACAGAGCTGGGAAAATGCAGGGCATGTTTTAGTTTGAACTCAGAGTAGAATAATGAGGGGAAACTGTGGGAGTTAACACTAGAATTTGCAAGTCAGATCCTGTCCCTCCTGTGCTTTTGACTTCTCATCTCAGAGGAAAAGCCACAGTCCCTACAAAGTAGCCTGGAAGCGACTACAGAATCTGTTTCCCTCCCGATCCCCACCGCTTTCTTCCTGGCTCCCTCTTCTCCAGCCAGGTCAGCCTCACGTTCCCCATCAGGCCAAGAGCCCCGCCTCCGGGAATTTGTTTCCTTTCTGCCGCGGCTCTCTTCTCCCAAAAGGCTGCATGGCTCACCTTTCGCTTCCTGGTCACCTTTATCAGAAAGGCCTGTCCTGCCTTCTCTGTATGAGCTCCCCTCCCCACTCCTGCTGCTCCTCATTTTCTCGCTTTGCTTCCTTCTCCATAGAGCTTAGGAAGTGTGCACGTAGGATCGTAGGATTGCTAAAGACGTTTGCTTGTGAATTGTTGCCTGTCGTTAGCCATTGGAGTGTGTGTTCCCTGAGGTGAGAGCTCACTGTTGCCTCCCCCGGACCTAGGACCAGTGCCTGACACATAACTCGTACTCAAATATTTATTAGACAAAAAGACAAACAGGGAAAGAGTGTGAGGGCGGGAAGGAGGTTAGTTATGGGTCCTGTGGGCTTTTGCATTCCAGGAAGGGGAATAAAAAATTAATTCAGTAGTCCATGGATAACCAGTGAAGGGTTTGAATGGGGGAGTGGGAGCAAACACATTTAATTTTAGGAAGATGCGTTTGGTGGTGATGTTTACGATGGATTTTTTAAGAAAAATTCACACCAACCCCCCCCCTCCACTTCCAAAAGCCAGCACTATACATGTGCTTTAAAACAAACCAAAAAATCTTTTAATTTTGAAATCATTTTACTCTCAAGAAACTGCTAAGATAATTGCTGAATTGCTAAAAGTGAATTTCCTTCCTGTACTTTTTCCTTGGTTTGCCCCAGTGATAGTATTTGGGGCAAACACTATATGCATCACCATAGTACATTGTCAAATCCAGGAAAATGACCTCGTACAATACTATTAACTCAGATACAGCCTTAGTTGGATTTTATCAGATTTTACATGCATGTGTGTGTCTTTATAGTTACATGAGATTTTCTCATAGATGTAGAAGTGTGCATTTTAATAGTTCTGCATCTGATTTTAAAGGTTTTGACAGCGTTAGAAAGTATTTAACCCACTTTAGTACTGCTCTTCAAGTTCTTGGTCTCCCACATTTGCATATGAATATACTGAAGGGCCTGTGTTATCTTTTATTCTTCTCCTAGTGTTTCTTGTAGCCTTTCCTTTCCACATCAAAGATGTTTTTTAAATTTTACTTAACAAGTATTGATAATTCATATTACTTATCAGGTTTTAATTTTTTTATTTTAAAACTAATACATTATTATTTTTCCTATTGGCCATTTGTTTACTTTACCCTTCATATCTTTTCTGATAGTAAAATATTTCTATGAGACTGCTAATAGGGGTGTAAAGTTTTTCCCTTTGCCTAGTCTGTAATAGTAATTAGAAATATCCCTGATAAAAAATTTACCAGTAATTTCAGAATTGGGAAGGATAGTGGGTGGGAAGGATAGTGGGTAGGAAGGAGATGAGCTTAATTCTTTCAAGTTCTGTTTTGAACAATAAAAATAAAAGGCTATTAAAAAAAAGAAGAAAAAACTAAAAAGGAAAAAAAACCCAAAATTGAACTTCTACCAGTTTTAGATATTCTGCTATTATTTTACTAAAAGGGGACATGTTTGTCTTTTAGTTATTTACAGACTTTCTAAAAGAAACTGGTCAAGCCCCAGCCGGTGCTGGCTCAGTGGTTGAGCGTTGACCTATGGACCAGGCAGTCACAGTTCAGTTCCCAGTAAGGGCACATGCCAGGGTTGCAGGCTCCATCCCTGGTGTGGGGGATGCAGGGGGAAGCCAATCGATGATTCTCTCTCATCACTGATGTTTCTATCTCTCTCTCCCTCTCTTCCTCTCTCTGAAATCTATTTAAAAAAAAAAGTGGTCAAGTTAAAATCTTTTCATTTCTGCAGCTGTGCTATGTATATGCTATATATATTTACATATGTGTTCTATGTGATTACACACACACACAGACATTGCTAATGTTTAAGGTGATAATTGATGTTCTTCAGTAGGATGCTGGATTAATATATAGGTCTGTGTGTGACAGCTGAAGAAAACCCAACTTATACGTGAACATGATACATTTTTTGCAGGTTCTGAGTTCTGTCCGCACAGAATGGGATCCACTGGATGTTCGTTTTGGCACCAAACAGATTTACCAGGTGTTGACAGTGGAGCACTCATTCAGTGCAGACAAAGAGCCCATGGCTGACAGCTGCATCTATGAATGTGTTCGCAACAAAATCCTATGTGTCTCAGTCACCAGAATACCTCTAAGATCCAAGGCCATTAGCTGCTGCAGGAATGTTACTGAAGACAAACTGATCCTGGGCTGTGAAGATTCTTCAGTAATTCTTTATGAAACTCACCGTGGAGTGACTCTCTTAGCCCAGGCTGAACTTTTGCCTTCATTAATAAGCTGCCACCCAAGTGGCACCATTCTGCTAGTTGGCAGCAACCAAGGAGAGCTGCAAATTTTTGATATGGCTCTCTCCCCTATTAACATCCAGCTCTTGGCTGAAGACTACTCACCCAGGGAGACTCTGCAGTTCAATAAATTTTTTGATGTTTCCAGCAGTCTTGCCCAAATGCAGTGGGTAGCTCCACAGGTTGTTTCTCAGAAGCCTGAAACGGGGGGCATCTATGACCTCCTCTTCCTCAGGTTCGACAGAGGACCTTTGGGTGTACTTTGGTTTAAATTTGGTAAGTCAAGGAGATTGGCAAGTAAGTCAAAGTGTTTATGATGGTGATATTATAGTTAGGACAAACTATTGTTGGAATGTAGATTTTCTTTTTGTCATCCCATAAATATGCTTGCCTTTCAAACATTTCATATAGTTTCCTTAAGAATACCTTGTGGATGATTTTCTAAATGTCAAGAAACATTTTCAATATCATTAGGTAAAGATATTGAAGAATTCAGAAATGCACTAAGTATCCATTGTAATTAATAAAAAGCCTGAACTTTCACATTTGATACTTTATAAAATGAACTATCTACCAAAAAATTCCTTAAGAAATGGATATGTGAATATTTTTTTAGCATTTAAAAAAATTATTGATTTATTTTAGAGAGAGAGGAAGGGGAGGGGAGAGAGAAAGAGAGAAAGAAACATCAGTTTGTTGTTGCACATATATATGTATCATTGATTCTTGTATGTGCCCTGACTGAGATGGAACCTGACTGAACCCTTGGCGTATCGGGACAGTGCTCTAACCAGCTGAGCTACCCTGCCAGGGCAGTATGTGACTATTTTAAAAGCACTTAATATGTCCATTAAAAAATTCTGTGTAGGACTGTAATACTTTTTCTATTAAAATTATTTTAGATTATAGGTGTCCATTGCTTCCCAGATTGGAATTGTGTAAAGCAAGTGTTTTAAAAGATGGGAAAGCAAACGTTTAATTAGCATTTGGTAAAGGTATCTGTGTAACTTTTTTGTTACCCTTTTAACTAAAAAGTTCAAAAGGATTTATCAATATTATGAAAATTATGTATTCATATAGCCCATTTCAACCAGGAAACTTTAAAACAAAATTTTATTATTCTGTTTGCCTTTTGTAGTTTTGCATTACCAGCTATGCTCTGTAGTATATGATATTCTTTAGGTAGTTTTGTATAATTTAAAATTCTTGAGAGAACCTCACTTAGGTTTGAAAAAACAGATTTTAATTAATGCACATTATTGCTACTTGAAAACTTAGAAAAGTAAATACATTTTAAAACCCTTTACAGGATTTGGCTCTGTGGTACAAAATTAAGTTTTAAAGACATTGTAGTGTTTATTGAGAAACTCTTAGTTTACTTTTGTTTTTTATGGATGTTTGCCTCTGAAATTGAACACAGGAAATAAATCTAGTGAAAGTGACTTGATTAACCTGAAAGATATGGCTATAATGTGAGGGCTCTGTTTTTCTCTCTCACATAATAAAAATGCAACTAAATATATTCATAAAGTTAATATTGTCCAAGAAAAAATATTTGGAATCTCATTTATTATGAGATAATCCAGTTCTACTTTGCCCCACTGCAGTAACAGTTGTATGTCTCCATATACAACACTCATTAAAGTAGATGTTAGATGTTTTGTATGTCTGTTAAAACACACACACACACACACACACACCTTATAAATTACCCAGTTACCTGTCAAACAGAAGGCTGTCTGCCCACATATACCTAGCTCTTCTTCAGCCTTCCCTTGTGGTCCTACTCAAAACAGCTTTGCAAAAAGCACAGCTTTCTCTTCCTATCTCTAGCACATTTGCCTTCTTACTAAAGTAAACAGGCTCTCAGTGTAGGGATTTAGAGGGCTTCCTGCTAATTGCCAGCTTGTAAACTTAATTGGACTGTCTCCCTGGGCACTGTTCCTAAATCAATTAAGCAATGAGTTGGCTGTCACCTCTTTTTCCCAAGAAGGTCTCTTGGAAGAGAGTTATCCAATAGAAGTCAAGCATTCAAATGAAAAGGTGATAACTTTTGCAACTGACATTTATCATTTAAATTTTATTTTCAGTATGACTCTTACATTTTATAGAATAGGGAAAATTTACAGTCTTACAGGCTCTATAAAATATCTAAATATGGAGTTTCCTTGGATTTTATAAAATCCTAATGTTTATTTTATTACAGATTATTGTTTCCCTACGAAGAGTAGATTCCTTGAAACAGATTCCAACTAACAGATCTTTTTTAAATTTTTTATTTTTTTTAAGAAAATCCTGTTTAAATGACAGATTTTTCTTAGGATCTGCTACTAAATACATCCAAAAATTTTAATATACTTCTTGAATTAACACAGTGCCAATTCTGGGCATCCATGTGGAATTTTCATGTATAATTCAAGTTACTGCATATATAAACAGGTATTTACATGTGCAGTTTTCCTACTGGGGAGCATTTATGAGTTTTTTTCATATGCTTGTTATGCAAGCCTTTGGAAAATGTGACATGAAAGGTGTAGCTTACAATTTAAGAAGCTGAGATAGATCATAGTTTAAAATAGAATGCTGTCATATGTAAACGTGGCAGTGGCTGGTGCCAGCATGCTAAGATTTTTGGAGTTTGACACTTAGAATAGGTAAGAGTGTAATGTTGAAGGAAAAACTGTTCCAAGGCTAGAGCTTCCATTCTAAATCCTTTACAATCGTCAATCAAATGCTTTGAGGATTTAAAGGCCATCACTACTGTTACTAGAATCCAAAGAACACGACTTTTTTAGGAGGAAGCTAGAAGTGTCATCCTTCCACATGGCCAAGAAGTGTACTATTTTATACAAAGCAATATGTAACCAGAATTTCTTTACCTAACTATCACTATCCCCTATTTCCACATACATAGACTGAGATTAATTTTTAAAAAAGGAGTCCCTAATTATACTACTGAGATATTAAAGCTTTTCCATTATCAGTACCTTTTCCAACCTTTACTGCTCTCTTTAAACTCACAGAGAATTTCACCTTTTAATTGGCTCTTCATTAAGTTTATCTGCTTCTCACCACCCACCCAACCACTTATCTACATTTGCATAAATCTTTCCTTCTCAGTTCAATGGAAGAGGAGCCCTTCTTCTTGTACTGGACTAGTTCTCCCACTACTTCCACTCTGGATCCCGCAACATTCCCTTTGACACCTTTGTGACCCTACACATTCCCCCCACAAATCTTGCTGCATTAGCAGATATAGGCCCAAACCATACCAGAAAACAAACACATCTCTTCCTTAAAATTGTTTCCCCTCTGTTATTAATCGAATAAGTGTTTGCTTTCCTTTCATAGTCACCTCATTGAGATATTAGCGAGCAATGACTTCCTCTGCTGCTTCACTTCCTATTCACTCTTTACAGCACCAGAGTCTGGCTTCTGGCTTCGGTCTCCTGCAACTGCGCTCGGAGAAGTTACCAATGACTGCTTAGTTGATACACGTATTTATTTTAGTTACTTGATAATTTCTCAGCATTTGATGGTTGATGATTACTGCCACTGTCATTGAACTCTTATCACACTTGCTTTTTATGATCCCAGAGGCAATTTTTCATCACTTTTTTATGCCCTTTTTCTGTCTACTCATGAAAATGTTGAAGCTCTCTAAGGTTCCATTTTTAGCTCTCCCATTTTATATAGATTAAGAGTTTATTTTTAATTTCACTATCCCATCTCTGACTTCAGTTCAGACCACATCTGACTCCGCATTCACATACTCACCTGGCTTTATGGATACTTCCCCTTGGATGTACACAAGTGCTTCAGACTCATTATGGACAGACATGAAGTCATCATCTGTCTCCCCAAAACCTACTTCTTCTGTATTCTCCATTTCTGTAGATGGTACAGTTATTCAGGTGGAATCTCAAGTCGGAAGTCATCCTGGAATCCTCTCTCACCCTTAATGCCATATCAAATCAGTGACCAAATTTTATCAATTCTGCCTTCTAAATGCTGTCAAAAGCATCTCATTCTATTCAACCTTGCTGTCATTACCTTAATCTACTTGTTTCCTGTTTTCCCATGACCAGGCAGTGGCTATCTGTAATTTTCTACCTACCAATCTTCCCATCCCATCCCTCAGCTAATCTAACAGTGCAGATTTGGGTCATGGATTCTCCAGCCTCAAGTCCATCAGTGTTTGATAAGCCCTTGTCTGCCTCTCAACTTCATCTCCTCAGCTGGGCTGCGCTAGTGTAGCTCCCCAATCACAACATGTGCTCTTCTCACACTCCCTCCTTCCCATAGTGGTGCTGATAGTATTCCATCTACCTGCAGTGCCCCCACAATGCTCTCACAGAGTCTACAAAGTTGGGAAAGGTTGAATGTTCAAGTGATAATACTGAGCTAGAAATTATTAAAGCTAACTTCTTCCCTTTCGTGGGACTTTGAAAATCACAGGCAATATGTGAGTGTGCATATGTGTGTGTCTGTCACTCTAAAAAACAAGTAGTATGACTTTTCTCTTAGAACTTTTGTAAGAAGTATGTTTTCTTCAAAAGAATTACTTTTATAGTGAATTATTTAAATATTATACTTTATCCAGGTAATTAATTGCTGGAAAGAAATGTTACTTTATTATATACCTAGTCATCTTAAAATTGGAGCTCATATCATTTGAAGTGGACTGCTATTCCAGATAGTATTCTGACATTTTCTCCTTTTAATTCTATCAGTTTTTGCTTTATTATTTCAGAACTCTGTTATTAGGTTCATTTTAGATTGTTATGTTTCCTCATGAATTTTCAACTCTTAATTATAAAGATATAGAATGTTAGGCTAATTCATTTCTATCTCTCAACATTTAAAAAACGTCTTACTGTTGTCTTCTGGCTTACATAATTTCAGAAGCAAAGTTTGCAATTATTCATATCTTTGTTTCTCTGTACATCTTGTATCCCTCCTTTGGTTGCTTTTTAAAGTTTTTTTTCTTTATCACCTTTTGCACAATTAATTATAATTACATTATATATTAGCTTTTCTTCTCAAAAGTCAGTTCTTTCTCTTGCTAGATGTATTGCATAAGGTACAGATATAGTCAGCAGAGTTTGGATATTTTCATTTTCCTGCAAAGTTCCTACACAGTAGTATCTACTGCCAAGGAGCCACTCTGATTTATGAGGACTTCCAGTGCTTGACTACAGGCTCACAAAAGCTTTGGACAGTAGCATTTGTTGATTTTACCAACATAAAAAGAATAGCAAAGCTTTATTGCTTAGTATAGCCAGGGCAATTTCCCAGATTCCCTGTCAAGTTGAGTCCTGTTATATAGAGCACAAGTTCTCTTTTTGATGTGACTTGAAGTTAATATGAAGAATTTGGGCATTTTTTTCATGAACTAATATGTTTTTTAAAATCCTGAAACCTATAACCTTTGCAGTTAAATGATGATGATAGTAATAAAAAGAACTATTTTATATATTTTATATATTTTACAGCTTAAGAATAATTTCACATACATTTTCTCATTTAGCTTTATGATTATTTGTACTGAAAAAATTTTGTGGATTCACTCAAGTTTGTAAACATTGGCTGAATAAAAAAAGGATTTTACTGCCAGCCATTTAAAAAAGATTTTAAAAGGAATAACCTGCTTAAGAGCCCTAGAACTTGTCATTTAACTACAGAGAAATTGTTAGTTTAAAATGAGATAAGCCACATTTAAAAGATGATAAAATAAAACTAGAACAGAATGCTCCCCATTTGTTCTGTGTTCTTGTTCCTCCAAGATTAGAAGTGGATTTTCTTTCATTTAAATGGATAAACAAATATGTTTATATTTTACCACAATACGTTATAGCAAATATTAGCTGTGAAGGGGATAAACAGCAGGCTTAATACTGATCATTTCTTCAGAAGAGAATAATCTCTAAATGCTGATTTAAAATAAATTGGTATGTGGTAGCTATAAGGAAACTATCAATTGAGAGCACCAATTAATAAAACAGACTCAAAAGCATTTATATAGTCACATATGTATATTGTATTCCCCTTTTCCCCAAGTACATGGGGCTGAAGACTAAATGCAATTTAGAACTAATGAAGCTGGTCAATGAGAACTGTGTTCACATCAAAATCCTGTCTTTCAATGTATGTAACGGAGGCCTAAACAACTGACGGGGTAAACAGTGTTAGCTACCGCGATCTACCTCAATATTATTCTCATCTTACTCACCTTTAGTTCAAGCAGTGTGATTTCATGGAATATAAATTAGTGTGAACTGAAATGATAGGACAAGCTAGGTAGAGTTGATAGGTACTATTTAGAATAAAGATTTAACAACAGAGTCATATTAGTCTTGCCCCCCCCCC